ATAAATAATAATTTTTTTTTATTATTTGTACTAACACTCTGTTTTAGAAAGCAATAAAAAAGCCGTCCCAAACAAAACTTTAATGTATGAAAGTACCTCCCATTTAATGGCTATTTATACAATAATCTCATATTTGAACCTATCTTTAATGCACTTAGAAGTTGGGCATATCCTTTGCACTTCTAAGAAATATCCATAGAACTGGTGAGCTATGAAGTTGATAAAATCAAATATATTTGACATCAACAACAATGAATTAAAACACATTTATAGTTTGGATATTAGATTGAAAAACTATTAGCAAGATTAGCCATAGCTCATTATATACATAACCAAGAAAAAAACTTCCCATATTTGACCTAATTTGAATCCAAAGAATATCATGATAAATATGAAAGACATTAAGGTTTCATTTGGGTCGACTTTTTTTACAGCTTTTTAAAGCAGTTTTTTAATTCAAAAAATTTAATTTTTGTACTAAAAAACTGTTTTAAGAAGCAATAAAAAAACTGTCGCAAATAAAGCCTAAGACTATATAATACGAAATAATACAAATCAATTTGTAGTCCATGATTAAAAGAGAGTTTATTTATATTTGATTTAGTCTCAATCTAATCTTGGTCACATAGAACCAGTTTACCAGCCTTTCTACAAAGCCCCTGTTCCCCAATCTCTCCGACCACCTTACCGTAACTGTACCTGAGCGGCATCACACCCAGCAACCGATGGAACTCAGTAATGCAGTTCCCCCTGCTCTCCCAATGCTCCTTCCTCGAGCTCAACCCTACCCTTCCGATCTCCGTCTCCCCCTTTCCCCGATTCCTGGGATCGCCATAATCCCTAACCCTTCCGCCGACGAGCAGAGGGCCTTCCCCACTCTCCATGGCGGCGACGAAGTTCATGAGAATGTCCTCGCAGTTACGATGGCGGTCCACGACCGCCCTCGCGGGGGCTAATTTGGTCCAGCAGCTGTATTTGTGAAGGTAGTCGGCGCGGAGGAGCATGAGCTTGGTGAGAACAATGGAGTAGCGGTCGGGATGGAGGGTGTAGATCCAGGACTTGGAATGGAGGTCGAGGGCGTGGGAGCGGGGGAAGAAGCCGAGGAGGGAGAGGGGGCGGCGGGAAAGGAGGGAGAGGGCGAGGGAGAGGGAGTGAGGGGAAGGGGAGATGTCGTCGTCGGCGATGGCGATGAAGCGGGAGAGGAAGAGGGTGGAAGGGAGGGGGAGGAAGCGGAGGTTGAGGGAGGAGGAGGGGA